TGCAAGCTGCCTGTGATTGAAGTGCAAGCTGCCTGTGAAGAGGTTTATCCTTGAGTTTCCACTTCCCCTGTGGATAGCTTGATTGAGTTAATGGCTGGTGTCCCAAACTCTCCCACAGTTACATGAACAATTGAAACAAATCTGTCTCCCTTCCGAACCTCTGGAGCATGAAGTGACTGATGCTGCTCCCCGTGTCCTTTCTTTTTGTGAGTTGACTCTTCCAGCAGTCGGCAACAGTGAGGACAATTTTGCCTTAGCTGGAGTGACAGAGGTTGAATAGCTTTTAATCATGACTTAGGGAATGGCTGCTTAGAAAGAGGTTGTGAACTCCCATTACAAGGTCTTGCTATGCCTTAAGATGTTCTTTCTAGAAATGCCCCTACTGTGAGTACTAGTTTTCTGAGAATAAGAGTGAATGTACTCATAGCTCTGCCATGCCAAACTAAGCAGTGGAGGGTTTGTATCCATGGTGACTCCCACCTACATATAAACACAGATGTAAAGGAGGAAGTAATTCACTGTAATTTCAAGTAAATACATACAAGAGTCACATGGCCAAAAGGCAACTACAAGGATATTTTTTTCAGTTGCATGGTGTTCATATACGTATTACCAGAAATTATCACTTCATCTGTGCACCTGCAAGGGATTGGGAGATTTGATTTTTTTAAAAAGAATGTATTCTTTGTGTAGAAGGGAAGGCAGCATATGATATATCATGGTATGATATCAAAAGCTAGGCAGTGTTGGTACTTGGAAGGAAGACTACCAAGGAAGGCTCTGCAGAAGGCAATGGCAAACCACCTCTGCTTCTCATTTGCCTTGAAAGCCCCTTGCTGGGGTCACCATAAGTCAGCTGTGACTCAACGGCATTTTAGACACACACACACTCTCTCTCTTTCTATAATATAATGCTCATTCAAATGACAGTGACTTGCCTGAACTTTTGTTTTGCTGCAGGAGTTTATGGCCCAATGACATCTTTGGAAGCAGAACTGATGATGAGGTCCAAACCCTCTTGAATATCTACTTCCGGCATCAAACACTTGGGCAGTCTGGCACTTATGCACTGGTGGGCTCTAACCAAAGCCTGTCCGAAATCTGTACAAAACTGATGGAACTGAACATAGAGATCCGGGACATGATCCGCAGGGCTCAAAGCTACCGAGTCATCAATACTTTTCTTCCAGAGTCCAGTGTTTCTGGCACAAGTCTCTGACAGAAGCCTTGTGCCCCCTTTCTTATTCAAGTTGGGATTGCTTCCATGCTGGGGCAAGGTGGTTCAATACCTTCTCAGCCTTAGAAAGACTTGGTAAAGTTGTAGTCAGTCTTGTTCCCTTTACACCATTTTCCAAGAAGAGCTGGGCAGAGTTTTCACCGTGCTGCAATACTGTAAGGACAGAGGTAGCATAGAATCCTTTGTGCTGTGCTGCACAGACAAAATGCATTTCACTGGGCAACTGCAATTCACTACTGAAGAAGTGACTTCCATTCATACCAAAGACTACTACACTGAACAAGACTTCCTTTCTAGAAAATTAATTTTAGGTTGGCAAAAGTGCAATCTTTCCTTAACTTGAGGATTTTTGTTTTTTAAATCTTGTACATTTTTTTCCTTTTGACCAAGTTAAAAAAATAGGCAGAATGAAGCTAGCGACAGGACCCTGCAAGACTGTCGATTCGAAAGCTGAGAGCCTGTGTGTATGAAAGCGGTTGTAAAGAGCTACAGCTATATGTATACTGTAATTTAAATATGATTACTGTATCTTTTAAAGGAAAAAAAAACCCAAGCTGCTTATGAAGTACATTTCCTGATGTTGCTAGGCTACCGTCTTGGAAGGTACTAGATCCTTTTGAAAGAGGTCTGTTATTAAGACCAAAGTACCTTATGAATGGACTAGGAAGATTTTTTTTTTTTAAATTTTGGCTGCTTTTTACTAGAGGGTTGCTTTTATGAATATATTTATATTACTTAAGGACAGTTGGTCTGGCTTAAATTGCCATTTTGTAGGAAAGCATCACATTGCTGATTTAATTATTTTGAATTGCCCCGCATGCATTTTTTATTTAATATACGTTTGGAATTCAACAGTAAAAGCATTACATAAAACTCGAGTTCACTTTCCATTTCTTAAGGTATTTTCTTTGTAATATGTATGTTTTTCCTTGCATTTTCCCTTTACACTTATTCTGTCAAGTGTTAAATGGGTGCATGTATCTCTTCTGCACATCTGAGACACTTTTTCAGGCACTGTCTGTGTCACTTAAACTTTCTGTAAATACGCTTTAAAGGTTTTTGTGAAGTACCTTTTGGTTGATATTTTGATCAGAACAGGATTATCTTACTAAATATAAAGATGATTATAATATATATATACATACATATACAAAAATGACTGTGTCTGGAATTAGTCTGTGCCATAACCTGTACAGAGTCAATTCTTCTGGGGCTTTTTTGAAACCAGAACCCTGATTCAGATCAGTTGGGTTCACATACTCACTGCACACCAGACTTCAGAACACTCCCAAATAGGTGTTGCATACCTGGTTTAGGAAAAGCCCCCAAAAAGGTTAATACAATTCTACCTTCACTTGCCTTGATACAGCTAGGAATTGTGTTGAGGGGCCATGGCTCAGTGATAGAGCCTCTGCTTGGCATGCAAAAGTTATCAGGTTTAATCCCTGGATTTCCAGTTTAAAAAATTAGATGGTGATGTGAAAGACTCAGCCTGAAACCCTAGAAAGCAGCTGCCAGTCTGAGTAGACAATACTAACTTTCATGGCTCTTGGTCTGATTCTGCATGGGTTTTCCTTCCTGATCCTCTACTTCTGTTAAGTTGAAAGGTTGTTGAGGTGTCTTCGGACTTTTTCCCAAAGCGGTTCCAAAGTCCACCTATAAGACGTCTCCCAAGTAATCCTAGCCCACATGCTTAATGTTCTCAAATTTGTGAGACAGCTCTTCTCATTGTAGAAGCTGTGTGCAAATCATTCTATAGACATTCAACTATATGTTTAATTCTTTACTTGATAATGCTTTATATCAATTTACTTGGAACAGATGTTGAGCTAACTAGCCTATAATGTTCTGGCTTTTTAAAAAAAGTGTGAAAAGATGTGCTATTTTTGAATGCTGATCGGTAACAAGCAGCCGTCCAGCCATGAAGAGACTTTTGTCTTGCCTTGACCATCTATTACAATGTAATTGGGGTATGGTAAAAATTGATTTTGCAGGCAGTACATAAATTTACATACTTAATACTGTGCGACTCTGCACATCTACCTAATAACTATAAAGCCCTTGAGCTTGTCACATATTATAGAACCTGTTCACATTTGAGAGAGTCAGCTTGGTTAGCAAAATATACTTTGAAGAACAAAGTAGCACTCGATTTTAAATAGTGCTATCCGTGCATTAAAGTGGGGTTCTGTCCTGAAATGTGACCTCCATGATCTTGAATCAACAAAAAAAGCATTCCATAGCTATCTTGGAGTTTTGCACAACATTCCACATCTTCCTGCCTTGCTTTAGCACCTTTTACTTAACACTTCTTACCATAATTGGCTGTTGAGCCAATTACTTGGCCATTTTTTTAATACTTTGAGATCAGGGATCCCAAGCCTCATTGAGTCCAAGGAAATCTATGAAATTTTGGAAAAAACAAGCAGGCATCATCACAAAATGGCTGGTAGGAGATTGAGATGCCAAGCCAAGCACCATCCTATGATGGAGACAGCTGTTCCTGAATGGGTGCTCCTCCAGTGAGGTGAAAGTTAGAAGGACTGGGTTGATCACTTCAGGGACAAAGGAATCAGGCCCCACAGCTTGTGGTCTAAGTCCTTTTGCTCTGTTAAAACCTGTGTGTGTCCCCCCCTTTGTTGATACTATTGTCATTTACATCTACTTGGAGCACTGGGTACTAAATGGCAGCTTCATTCCACTTACATGGTAATTGCATTTGATTAGCCCCTTGCTCTCTACAGTGTGCACAATCTTCCAGTTACTAAAGCAATGTCATTTTACTAGACAATTTCCTACTGGTCACATAAGCTCTTTAAAGTCCGCTTTGAGCAAAAATTGACATAATACTCATGTTTTCATTTGAACTAGCTTAAAGTTTTATTTGTACCTTTAGAGAAAGTAACTAAAAGGAGGAGCCCCTGAACTACTGAGTGCCTTGATCATCTATTAGGATCCAGATTCCAGTCGAACCAGGAACAATGTGTTTGTCGACACATCATCTCCCTTTTGATGGCATGATCCTCTTACCAGAGTGCATTAATTTCCTATTCAGTTACCAGTAGCTGGCTTTAACAAAGAGGAATAAATGCAGTTCATGTTTTATTATCTTTACTACCACTCTGTCTTGATAAGTCACCTCTATTCCAGGGGTACACAGGAGGTAAAGGTCACTTAGGAGTGACCACCCCACGGAACTCACGTAATCACTTCCTTAATCTTTCCTTTTAAAACTACTGCACAGCTAGTGTAAAGGAGGCACATTTATGCACCGTTACTCTGGCTGGGGGTAAAGTGTGCTTCTGACTCTTGCCCCCCACCCTCAGTGCTGCTATTTGCTTTGCCCATGAGAGACATAGTCAGTAACTATATTTCCCCCCAGCAAAGCAAATTACAATCTGAGGTCATGGTTCACTTTATCACAGACCTGCTCTGAAGCACCGTAATTTTTGTGCAAGCCACAATTTTTTGACTAGAAACACCCAAAGTTATTAAAAAAAAATAAGTAGCTCCCAGGAATAAAGTCTGCCCTCCCCTGTGCTGTTCCAACGAGATTCCATTTTTCCTTAGTGACAGAAGAAGCTAATATTCCTAATAAAATTGCTATAGAGAAAACCTAAGCAACTAATTTTGTTTTTGTCCATTTCACTTCAACAATTATATACATATACCCACCTATTTTCATGTCAGAGAGACTAAAACATTAATTATAATTCAACGTTTATTACAAGTTAACAATGAAATTACATACAATATTCCCCAACCTTACAAAAATCTTTAATCCGTTATCCAATGCCAGGTCAAAAGCCTAAAGTCAAAACCAAGTATCAAAGTGCATAGTGCCAACACAAACCAGCCATACTTGGAAGGCAAACAGCTTAGACAATGTATTTAAAGCTGTAGGTATTGTCACACGACAGTCTCTTGCCTTTGCAGCGACCACACAGCTCTTGACGGTGAGGCCTCTTGAGGTCAATGTGCCTTTTCTTCTGGGGGCAGGAGCAACGAGTCTTTGAACACAGCTTGAAAGACAACATTTTCAATTATTAGCAGACAGATTAAGCCCTGTTCCCAAAGTGATGATCTCTCCTATGGATCTGCCTTATATGTCCAAGTGGCACTGGACAAAGCAAGAAGCCCAGGCAGAGAGATCTTCATTCCCCTTTGGAGTTCCTTGTTCCTCATTGAAAACTCAGCTATACTGTCCTAGAGCTGCTGCCACAGGTGAATACCCTACTCTTGTTTTGAAGACAAGGACAAGATCACATACCAACATATCAGGCACAACACATGGTCTCTCATGGTCTATTTACAGGCCTGTTTGTACATGAACACATGTGGCTAGTTTTACCCATATTTCAGAAGGAAAGCACTGAGTTTTCAGGCATACTAGAGACAACTAGTTAGCTGCTGCTAATGCCAACCCCGCAGTACTCTATTGGCAATGCTATTTAGAAGGTCTATGGGTGTTGATATGCACTGCAAGTATTAATTTGTTGTGGTAGATGTGATATAATATTCTACTTGTCTATATCCATAGAAGACCTCAGAACTTACAGTCAATTCCACAACCAGCCTTAGTGATATAGTTAGAGCAAGAAGAGTAGGTTTTTAAGGAGTCTCAAAATGGCTTACCGAAGCCTTACCTTCATCTCCCCAACACAGACACTTGGGAGGTAGGTGGAGCTGAGAGAGTTCTGAGAGAACTGTGACTGCCCCAAGGTCACCCAGCAGGCTTCATACAGAGGAGTGGGGAATCAAATCCAGTTCTCCAGATTAGAGTTAACTGCTCTTAACCACTATACCAGTCTGGCAAAGAAAGCTAAGGGGGAATTTTGTCCATTCTCTGTTCAGCAGCAGAAGATATTTTGGGCTGCTTTATTACCTAACTATTGTACATTGTTTTGAAGCAGTCAAACCCTGATGTTATGTTTCTATAAAGAAAGAGCAGTTATCAAGTGCTTTGTTTCTATTTGTGTGAAATAGGCATCCTTTGAAGTTCATAAAATAACCAAACCCTAATAAAGGTCAAGGCCTTCACCAAGACAGAGATGCCTAGTACACCTCTGATGAAATATTACTCACCTGGCACATAATTGCTTCTACTTTATAAGGATTGAAGCTCTTCTGACACTTGCGACAGAGCTGTTTGAAGTAAACCTAAGAAAATGAGATATTAGAAAGGAGAATACCAGGTGTCAAGGTACTAAGTAAAAAACAATAACCTACAGCAAAAACCTGTGCAGCAATAGATATATCTAACTCAGTGTGCTAATGTGATATAGTGGACAGAGTACCACACTAAGACAGGGACAGCCAGGTTTAAATCCTCACTTCTGCTGCTTCAGACCAACACGGCTGCCCACCTGGATTGGCAAAATAAGTTAACCTTTACTTATATTCAATCTCAATTTGGCAACCACATCTCTTTTTTCGTTTCTCACACTTAACTATCGACCTTCCACAGCCTGCAGTTCAGCGTCTTATCCACTTGAGCCACCGCAGCTCCTTAAGAAGTATGTGTGCACACAAAAGCTCATATCTTGCATAAACCTTTGTTGGTCTTAAAAGTGCCACTGGACTCAAAATATGTTCTGCTGCTTCAGACCACCACGGCTACCCACCTGGATTTGGCAAAATAAGTTAACCTTTACTTATATTCAATTTGAATTTGGCAACTGCATGTCTCCCCCCCCCCAAGATGTTAACATTCCTACATCATTTGGGAGGAACAAGCAGCAGTTCAATGGATGAAAGGACCCCAAGTGATAGGACTTCAGCAGCACCATGTACTGCTAACAGTGCTTAAGATCCATTAGTCCCTTCCATATTCAAATCCGAGGGACAAGACATAGCATTCATCATCCTCCAAAGCAGAAGGATTGAACTACATTGTCTCGAGATCAGTTGTAGTTCCAGATCTCCAGACCCCACCATGGCAACTGACCAGCGTCTTCCTGGACAGTTACAAGGCAACAGTAGCAGCAGCTACATCCCTGGTCTGGTTTTCAACAGAGATGAGGCTGTCCTCACCCAGGCTGCCAAGGGACCTGGAGAAAAGCATTCTGTTCCTTTGTTGTTGTTGCTCAGTCGCACAGTCGAGTCCGACTCTCCGCGACCTTTAATGGGATGCTATTTATCCCGAGCTCCACCTACCTATTTCCATTTTATTGACGGGAAAGGACGCTTCCCTCCAGCATCAGATTAAACTCTGATCTAGGACAAACATTACATCAGAGCTCTAAAGGACCCAGGAGACACTCATATAATATAGTGTAATATAGTAATATACTAATTTTACAGCCATTCTAAATTGTTTCAGAAGTTCTGTTCTCCATAATATTTGATTGGAACTCATCTCAATCAAACCTGGAGTTTTTCCTATTCTGGGAAGCACCATTCTTCCCCCCTTCACTAAAGCTGCACACCCAAACCATTATTTCCCCCATCTTCCTTGATTCTTGAGGGCCACCAAGCATGATACCTTATTAGTTCCAGAAATGCACCATACATAAGCGCTCTCCCATCTGGTCTTACAGTTGTTGCAGTGGAAGTAGCCATATTTCTGTTCCAGGAACTGAAACAGGAAGATCTTATTAACAACAAGGCATCTAGACAATGCACACAGATAAGTCCCATAGTCAATGTGTTGGAGAGAGACTGTGGCTCAGCAATGGAGACTCTGTTTTACATGCAGAAGATTTCAACTTCAATCCCTGGCATCAGCAGTTAAAGAGATCAGGCAGTAGATGATGGGAAAGACCTTTCCCAGATACCCACAAGAGCCACTGCCAGTCAGTGTAGACAGTGCCAATGGTCTGACTCTTTCTAAGGCATGAACAAAACATATTTTCTACTGCTAGACCATGTACTGCTAACAGTGCTTAAGATCCATTAGTCCCTTCCATATTCAAATCCGAGGGACAAGACATAGCATTCATCATCCTCCAAAGCAGAAGGATTGAACTACATTGTCTCGAGATCAGTTGTAGTTCCAGATCTCCAGACCCCACCATGGCAACTGACCAGCGTCTTCCTGGACAGTTACAAGGCAACAGTAGCAGCAGCTACATCCCTGGTCTGGTTTTCAACAGAGATGAGGCTGTCCTCACCCAGGTTGCCAAGGGACCTGGAGAAAAGCATTCTGTTCCTTTGTTGTTGTTGCTCAGTCGCACAGTCGAGTCCGACTCTCCGCGACCTTTAATGGGATGCTATTTATCCCGAGCTCCACCTACCTATTTCCATTTTATTGACGGGAAAGGACGCTTCCCTCCAGCCCTTGGCAACCCTACCTCAAAGGAACAGGCCGCCCCACTTTCTCCCGCCCTAGGCACCGGACCGAGCCTGAGGCAAGAGCGCCCCTAGTGGCTAA